AAGTCCACCAGCTAACAGCAATAAATTCTCCGACGGTGGCTATTTGGTACCTACATGATGTTGTTGTTGTTTTTGGTGTTGTTGTTGTTTTTGTTTGGCTGCAAATTAAGGCAGATAATCGTAGTGACGATGGCGTAGATAATAAAATATAAGGAATTGAATGTACTCGAACCAAACCTTCACCCATAGGATGTATTACAATATCCCGTTACATATAACATAACATATATTTACTAGGTTTCCAGATTCACTCTCGTCATCACTCAACCAGGATACTGACTCAATGAACATCACCATCGTCATTAACCGTCTCAATAAGACAAGACTTTACCCATTATAGGTAGGTACTAATGTATTTACAACTAATATTTAAGTTGACTTTTAATACAATTTATGCACCTATCACAGACACAATTTAAAACCTAAAAATATCACCCGATGCCATCATTGTCGTGGGCATATAATTAATAATAATAATAATAAAAAAAATAATGTATTTATACAATTATAAAATATTATTCGTTACGTTTGCGTATAATTAAAGTTGACGAAGAAAAAAATCATTTTAGATAATAATTATTAATCCATATGTGCGTCTTGGTTTTTTTTTTTTGTAAAAATCATCCTTTTTGTTCACCATCGAATAACTAGAAATATTCACGATGTTATTTTATAATATTACTTCCAGCGCCATCCATGCCTTAAATTTGATTTGATTTTAAATATATTTGTAAAAAAATATTTATTTCATATTTTTTACTAGTGATAGTAATATCTGTAATATTTATTCAATGCTTAGATAAAGATATATGGATATACTATGGATGAAGCTACAGTGTATTATACTGGTTACTTATTGACAAATTATAGTATATAGTATGATATAGGTATTATACATATTTTTTTACTTGTGTGAATATTTAACGTAAAGTATCTAAAGGGAATAATCATATTGGTCAATATTCGTGTTTTAGAAGCGCGTGGAATACGTCCGACATCCTGTATGAAAATATTGTCATGTATCATGTTGTTTATCAATGTATATGGATTTAATGTATATTATTATAATAGTGAAAAAATCAAAAAGTGATTTCATAACGATTTCCTCATGACATTATCGTTACGTTATAACATTATTATTATTGTATTATTATACCTATGCGTATACCATTAAACGGCCTTGGTCATTGAAGGCTATTCGAAGATATTTTAGGAGTTACGAAGCTTGCGCTCATGCTTCTATAATCTATAAATAACATATATTATTAAATTATAAATATGTGATACGTAATGTGCATAACCTATGTACTTACCCGTTACCCATATGCCTACAGGTCGACATTACGAATAATGGAAACAGGTGGCAGCTTCTTAAGAATTCTTCTTTAAGAATTTGTATCACTTGTACGTCGTGTGCGAGTTAAACCATATAATGATTTTACGTCAGAAAAAAAAAATTTAACCACGACGATCAACGGAATTAGTTATTTTATTTTTTATACGGTAATTATTTATACACTTGAATAATTAATTTAGATTTTTTACGATAGTACCTAGAATCTAGGGTCACCAGTTTATATTAATAAAGGGTCACATTGTTGTTAGTATGTTCGCAGTTCATTATAATTTGGATGGGGGCCGGAGGAGAAGTATTGGCACCATGGTTCCTCCTCCGGTTCTCGATACTAACGAAAAAAAAGAAAAAAAGTTCATTATAATTTCAAACTACTGAAATCAGTAAAAACAAACGAACAAAAATCAAAAATTATAACACTAGAATGAATAATATTATCGGTTTTTACTTATTTTTCTTCCTTGCAGTCCTAAAATTTGTCCATGATCTACATGTGGCCTAGATTATAAGAACCGTGGGCGTTCAGTCCCCAACAAAAAACTACTCCACCGACTTTCGTGCCCAACAATCATTCCCTGGTATTTTTATTCACTAAATTTAAATTGCTATTTTTTTTTTTAATTTAAACTTTCTATTCTTTTTTTCGTTAAACGTAAAATGTCAGTAATAAGTATAATATTTTATATTAATAAATTATAACATTTTAAAAATATTATAAAACATAATATTGCCTATAATGTCAATTGCGTCAATTAATTTTTTTTGTATTTATTTATTTATTTTATTTTATTGGGATTTAATATTTCCCACACGAGACGTAACAGCTGGTAAGCGCTATGTACGCTTGAAATTTACGTCCGTGCGTAAATTCGTTTGTTTTTGTGTTGCATAAAAAAAAGTTAAAAAGTATAATTAAATTAAAACAATATAATGCGTGGTCGCGTGGACTTTACGCCCTATATCTATAAATATTAAATTACAATTGGTATATTGGTATATGCATATTATATGGAATGGATTCAATTAAAATTGAAGAAAACTGTCTTTACTCAAGCAATAAAATACACAAAAAAAAAACGACTCATTTCAATAAATGTTGGTCTCAAAAAACTCTCTACAATAGATGACATTAAAGTATTAAAATCATTTTTAAGTATAAGGTTAGGTTTATGTATATTAGGACATGTATTTATTTTTTAAATAGATGAATAATTGAAACTGACTTAACAATTAGTATGACTGTAGTAAAATGATTACATTTTTTTAGGAATCATATCGATAAATATAAAATAATTATAATCACACAATTCACGGAAACACCAATAATTTCATGAAATTACGATTTAAAATACATACATTTAAATTTAAAAAAAAAAACTGTCAATGATACGTCCGCTTTACGCAGTGTCGTATTTATGTCCGGGGGCGATCAGTAAGATACACACACCTTCTCAATTACTACTGATAAGTAATAAATAATAATTATAAAAGACCTTATTGAAGTTATGTATAATATCGCGATCGTGTTCACATTCATTCGTTTATTTATTTTATCTTCCTATACACGCAAACGAATATGAGATGATGCGAAATGATTAAATTTTTGTATGTTGTGCTCCTTCGGCGACCAAAATTCTATCGCAAATAATATCGTATATAAAATGGTTCCTAGTTGTTTTTTAGAACACTCGCAGTTATTCGATACAACAGACGCCAGCTGCAGTATTGAAGATTGTGGATTTCAGTCGATTGGACGTTTCACATCATCACACCCCGTTAGTGTTATTCGATTGGAGTCCTGCTGCATTAAAATATCGGTAATTTATTAAATTTCTTGTATTATAAATTATTACAAAATTATGTTATCATATATACATGTTTTTTACGCGTTGAGTTTTGATTGAATTTTGGAAATTTTCTTACACAGACATATTACGAGTACCTATATATTATTATAATGAAATAAAATCATACTAAAAGTTTTTTTTTCTAAGGTAAAAACAAAATCTTGAATTAAATTATCGAAAAATAGCTTATATTAAATGATACTATAAACTACATTATTATTTTACATTGTTAAATTAAAACGAAAATAATTACTTTGAGTCTAAACGGCTCTTTTACTTTTAGACACGTTGCTGACCCCAGCCTTGGGACAAATGCGTATAACGTCCGGTGAGTAGCGGGAGGGGATACGTTGAATGAGTGGGTCGAAACTGCTTGCCCTTGATATTTGGCTATCATATGAACGTAGTTAGGTTAGGTTTTGTACCTTCTTCCTCGAATTCAGCACCAAGTTCCTTATAATGGTGCAAGTTGGTGGGCCAAGGAATCCGTGGTAAATGAACCCAACTGTTGATGCCGTAAACACTTTTTATTCTCACGTGGGAGTAATATTTATGGATTATAACAATATCATAATGTACCTATAGTAAATAATTATAGACTTTATAGTTAGTAGTCAAGATTCATTATAAATGGTCTCCACAAGGGCATCCTAATCTTCTGATTGTTAACCCAGTTTCCAATAATGTCCCAGAAGCAGGGGCGTCATTTCAGGTTTTCTTTCGGGTGTGCGAAGTTTCAAGCAGGCCATTTTGAAATTTCACCAGGCCATATAAAAATAGATATACACAAGTATATGTATATTATCCTGCGTTCAATTATTTCCATACATTATAGACCGGTTATTACAATTTGATTTTAATCATATAAATAATTGTGCATTCGTGGCTCGTGCATTATTTTAGGCTTCAGCAAGGCGCAGGCCAATTGTAACATTCTAAAAGTAAGGGGTGCAACCGCACACCCTGCCACCCTCCAAATGACGCCCCTGCCCAGAAGTTGACTCTCGTTTAAAATGTGCAGAGACCTTCTTACCCTTTCAGTATTATATATTATATTCATTATTTTTTTTTCGCTTAACAATCGTCGTTTGGAGCTTGCAACAGGGTGGCTCACTATAGAACTTAGAATTGACTTAATACCGATTTAAAATTATATACTTTTCAAATATCTTGTCGGAGACAATTTCAAGTTTTGGAAAATAAATTCAATATATATATTATTAAAAAAATATAATATAACTATTATTTATTTTCATAAATTAGGCTCAAATTAAATTTAAGTTATACCCGTTCAACAATAATTTTTTAGTGAGTGAAGTAATTTATGTCTTTTAAAGATCCATGTGACTTTACAATAATTTGTTTCACACTATTTCAGGTCCTTTCCCTATATAAATTTTGTCATTCAGTGTAGTTGTGCCTGTTACACCTCCAAATAGGTTTTTTTTGTACACATAGTGTTTTTTAAATAAAAATAAATAGTGATTATAATTTTTACTGATTTTTTGTATTTATCGGAATAGGAATGGGAATAGATTCGTTTCAAAGATGTAAACTGGTGTGTTGCTCTTCGAAATTGAGATGAGACTTTTTTTCTGTTAACTGTTATTATGTCGGTCGTACTTCTACTGTTATTAAAACATGTATAATTTGTGATTTCTCGGGTATGAGTATAGCGTGTGCGCTTCACCTGTGTCATGCGGAATTTCCCCTGTTTCGCGCGTGCCCTAGACCGTCAAATGGTATTTAAGTGTATCGGCGGCGTGGTATTGATACGGATCCACCGCATAGTCAGTTCCATCAAAGCGACCGGACTGTGCACGGGTGACTGCAGACCTCACGACTTTGAACGATTTTCTGTTTTGATTATTTGTTTTTTTTTTTTTTACTCAAATATTTTATTATATTGTTTGTTGCTTGGATAGATTTTTTTCACGATTTTTTTTTCTAAGCAAACACTTAACAGTATTTTAAATATTATAATAATATAACAAACAGTAAAATTGCAAATTACGAGGATTTCCGCAGTGAACCAAAGAGTCCCGAGCACAATAATAAAAGAGGATTGTACAGGTATTTCATATTTTAAATGTCTTCATCAATAAGATGATTGTTATTAAGGGAATGATTTGAACAGCCATAGGAATTTAATTTTTTAGAAAATTTCAGTATTATTCGTTAATGTATTTTGTACGATAACATTTTTTTTTATAGAATTGTAATTCCAATTCATTAGAAATGTTTCATTAAATATAAATCTATACAAATAATTATGTACTCATTGATTTAAGTAGATATTTATATTGTATGTACAACACATAATTGATTTATCTAAACTATATAGGTAGGTAAACTATTATATAGGTATACGTTTTTAGTATAAGTATTGCTGGTCAAAAATATGTTATTGGGTACAATATTTTTATAAGACTCGTTTAAATTACTATATTAATTCTTTCTTACTTACATATTATAAAAATTAATGATTTAAATTATTTATTTTTTTATATAAAATAATTACAATATAAGTTCAATTAATGTCAACAAATAAATAAGATAATTAAATAAACTTCTGCAGTTGATTATTTATAACGTGACATTTTTATTCGAATATATTTATTTCCAACAATTTTTGATTTAACAGGTATTTGGTTTGATACAAAAATAATAACATAATCAAACATTTTCAAAACAGTTTTATCTCAGTCTATTAAATACGTTTTTAACGTTTTAATTTATTGTTTGGTTTATCTACTTTCTCGAATTTGACAAATAAAGAGTTTTAGAGCCCAAAATATAAATTGATAAATTGATATATATATAGATTGACAATTCGTTGTCTGAAAAACATATGAATCCGTGTACTTATTATACTTATTATAATTTAATATGACTCACGAACGTATACGAATGAATGTATAAATAAGATGATTAATAGGTACATGCTCTGTTGTTGTTTTTCTTCTAAAATTGAATGTGCGCTATATAATTCAAATAGTTTTTTTTTTCATTAGGTATAGTTAAAATAATCGTATTAATAGTATTTGATTCGTGTTAAATTTACTAAAAAATAATCGATAAATTATATTCATGCATTTTTACGTAAATATTATAAATTCTGAAAAACATTATCATAGGGGGTCATGCCTGTCCGACGACAGACGCTGAATCGGTAATTCAAACCTATGAGTCATTGTATTTTGAAATTATAACATACTAAGTAGCAAGTTCAGTACCTCGCTCAGTTGATAAACAAATTAAATTATTTTTCCATGGTCAAAGGTCTTGATACACATTACTTATTATACATTCATTTTGTCGTTTGAAAGATGAATTTGTAATTTGTATTACAGATATTTTACACATCTGGTAATTAAACTTTCAAGCGCAAATTTATGAATAGGTACCGGCTTCGTCAAAAGTTATCTATAACAAAATATTATTATAGGGTACCAGTTAAAATTATAAAAAAAAACCTATGAAAAACAAAATCACGAAATGTTTTAACAGCGAAAGTAAATAATTCTATTCGATATATTTTTCGTAATCATATATAAAAGTAAACTATCATCACAGTATTATAAAATTAAATTAAAATTCGATAAAGTAGAAACAATCCAAAATTTATTAGAATTTTTCTTAAAATCGTTGTGTCTAATAAATTTAGATTATACCTATTACACCTAGGTACTGCTAAAATTTATATCTTTCTATTATTTACCTACGACATAACATCTCTGTATATAATATGTATGATATTATCAAATAATATATGTTCATAATAATTTAACTATCATAATATATTTTGTGTTTAGTTAAAAAATAAATATTTTTATAATACCTTATAGTTTAAATACCTACGTGTCAGTGTATTGTGATAAATATACATATAAATTATAGATATACCTACTACAAATAGTACAGCGTCGTCGACGGCTAGCAATAATAAATAATATTTTATTTTACTATAAAAATTTTAAATCCTTTTCCTTGATTCTACCAACGCACTATTCGTGTAATATAAAAGCTAAAATAGGGCTGCAAGGTTTCGATATAATTAATGCTAGGAATATTGCTGTATACTATTGCCTATTGCCCGGAATTTGCATTAGCAGCTACATTATTGGAAGAATATTTTAAATAATATGTATAAAAAAAAAGTAATATTTATAAGAACAAAATGTATTCGCGATAACACACCTATATAAACATTAAGCCAAAAAGACAATATTCAAAGAATGTATATATCAGAAAAACAACAAAATAAGTGATAACTACCTACACATAGTATGATAGAAATTATATCAACAAAAATTATATTGTTTTCGAAACCAATCCTTTGTTGTGTTACGTGTTATATTTTTCATCTTAAAAATCTTAATCCCCTTTCTAGATTCATTAAGATGCGGTCGCTCAATCATCAGTAATAATAATAATATTACAAGGTTAGTTGATTAATAAAAATGTATATATACAAATATCGAATTTTCCTACGAATTTATAGTATCAATATTTATTCGTCAGCTCGGTTTGATTATTACAATTTATTATATTTATATTATATTATCGTCATGTGAAATCATTTTATTTGAAGAAATACTGACATTTTATACATGCATATTATTATAAGGGTATATTTCAACATATTTTGTTTGAGTAATAAATAATAATAATTGAACGCTTACTCTACTTTACTGTCAGTTCATTCGACTTAAAATATTTAACTGATAGAAAGGTATTAATCAAGTATCTTTGTCAGAAATTATTCATTCCAGTGTTATTAGATGCTCCGGTATTATAAGATAATGTCAAATTTTGCCATTCTTTGAACTATGTAATTTTCATTCTTTTTCATTCCTATTTATCCTACACGTTATTTGAAAAATAATCCTTTGTAGCAGATGATAAAACTGGTCAACGAAGTCCAATCATTTATTATTTGATTTATTAAAACTACAGTTGTCAACGTTTCCTACACTATTATATTTAAATTATTTCATTGTAATTTTTACTATTTTTATTGCTATTTAAGTTCTTCAACTTTTGTTTGTCTATAATATTAGTTTTATCGTATACCTTATACTGTTTATCTGTATTTCGTATTACATTAAGGACGCGATGGTAATTTTTCATTATTTCCCTCTGCACTCCATTAATTAACCTATAGTATTAAGAACGTAAGTATTTGATCAGTGGAAAGTCGTGCACAGTTACCGGTATTAGGCAACTTATATAACCAAGGATAATATTATATGCACCTTAATATAATTCACAAGTCACTACAACAACAACAATATTGTTCATTGTTGGTAACCCGTAAAATTTTTTTCACAATTCTTATTGTCTTGACGTTTCAGGATGCCTGCCGATATCGAAGTCATGGATAAGTTCGACTCGAACAGCCAGAGCACAACTCATGATTTCTCGGAAATTCAATCTTTTTACAATGGTATGACGGTTTTTTTGACTGGCGCCACTGGATTTGTGGGTAAATTAATACTGGAAAAACTAATCAGGTAACAACTCTATTCATTACAACACTTCTATATATTATATTACATGATAGGCTATTGTTTAATCGCATTTAAATTGTGTTTTGTTGATGACGTGCATATTTTGTAAGTTCACAACACAATATTTATGAAATATATTCATAGACACAATGTGATATGACTGTACTATGTATAGTAATACATAAATAATAATTATTACGCGTAAGCTTAATAAATTCAACTCAACTATTTGATTTTAAACTTTAATAGTTTCTCGATATTTTAGGTGACAGAGTTTTAAAACTAAAAGCTAAGACTTTCTTGCCATGGTTTAGATTAAAATTAATTACTAGGAAATATTTTAAACGTTACTTAATTTTAATTATTTATATGTAAAACGTCACATGCCTCAATATTCKATATGTTGACTATTGATTGGTTGTACGATTATACTATTATAGTAAATCCGATGAAATATGTCAATGCCAAATAAACTTCAAAAGTATCTCCGCAAGAATTAACGCATTTTATGTGGAATGATCATAATGATCATACCCATACCATAATATTGATAATTAGCTACGATTTTAATTTTGTTGATATTTGGCTAAAATTGTATGGTCATTATAAATAACATTATTACGTGAAAATATAGTGTTATACACAGCAAACGTTGAAATTGGAAACTACTTTGTAGAACTCTATTTATGCTATACTTGATAGTGCATCAATGACGTACCTACAGCACACAGCATATAAGTTTGTTAAAAATTATTTATTACATAAATGGTAGACGAAAATAATTTTACCTAGGTATATAGTATCTAGTATCAACTCTACAATTCTATGGTATTATAAATTAAAATTCATATTCAAGATTGTTTGTTCCGAATTTAAATACATTTCCATGTTCGTATATTATAATAGTTTATCACGACATCGGAATACTTGAGTACTTATAGCTGCATACACATTACACAGTTTACTGTAATTTATGATTAATAACAAAATACGGCAAACAAAGAACATACAATATAATGTACTGTGCAGGCGTATACGCAGAATACATAATAAGTCTAAGTCTACGCAAATTGGCTTGGTTTTTTATCTTATTTTTTTTATATAAATTTTGATTTCGAATTTGAGAATTAATTCTTATTTGACTACGCGTAATATAGTATTATGATTTGATATACCAAGGTCATTCAAAAAATTATTTTATAAAAGAAAATATCTATACTCTACAATTATATTGACAGAATCAAACCGTGTTTTATTTTATGTATAAGTATAGCGATTTATAAMACATTAGCATTTAAAAATTAATTGGGAACTTATTAAAATTAGTATAGGTATATGACTACGGCTTAATGACATTCCATCATACATTTTTGCTTTATAGAATTTGCAAAATGCAATATAATGCCTCTAATGTTTATAATAATATAATATTTTTTTTATCGAAAATTCTAATATTGAAAACATAAAAATAATTAAATATGTGTTTAAGAAATCACTTTTTTGACATTTTAACTAAATTAAGAACACTTAAATTTTAGCTCAATGGCTCCAAATGTAATAATACGTTAAAACAAAGTATATTATACAACAATAAATTAACGAAAAAAATTGTTTTATTTCTTGTTTTAGAACTTGTTCCGGAGTTAAACAAGTTTATGTTTTGATCAGAGAGAAAAAAGGAAAAACTACAGAAGATAGGTTTAAAGAACTCTTCAATGATCCAGTGAGTAAATATTTATTTATTTATTTAGATAATAGTTTTACAAATTCAACTGTTATCATGTAAAGATAATAAGTTATCATTAGATTTGAATGTATAATTTAACGATTAAATTATGTTACATTAAATATTTTATACTTACAACATATATAGGCATCATTGAATATATTATAATTTTTAGTAAATTTGATTCTCTAGTATTACTGAATCGGAATTATAAACATAAATATCAAATTAAAATAATTGCTTGTATAATTCTTTATAAAACGTAAATTACCAGAAAAAGTACCACTACAATTTGAATTAAACTTATGAACTTACTAATTTTTAAACATTGTGAACACAAAATAAATAATACTTGCAAATGGACTTTGACTAGGCCATATTTATGTTGTTTCTTTTAATCAAATGTGTGTACAAAAACGACATGGAAAGAACAATAATATTTATAAATAACGAGTGCAAAATAAAAACATATAAAACGAATAGCAAAACACATGCTATTTGAATGACAAAAATATAAAGAAAAAAGCGTTCGACCTCTAAAAAAGACAATTAACACTGGGAAATTTAAATATATAATATATTCATTTTCATGTTTATTTCTTATTTATTTAAAAAATATACATTTAGATAAAATCTTTTTATTCTAGTAATACAATTATTTAGTAAAATTATATTGAGTGTATTCTATAAAACTCAAATATTTGATATGAAAAATATTAGACTATACATTTTTCTTTTAACTTCCGCATTCGTATCTGCATAGTGCATATATGATATAATTAGTATATATTTTTTCATCTGATCATGGAAATATTCTGCGCACTATCGTTCATTTATGTGTTATTAGTTTTATCTTTCCAATCGTTTTTAAAATCAGTGCTTTAACGATTTATCAAAAGTGAATATACTATACAATCAACGTAAAATCACTAAGGTATCAATATAAGAAACAAAGGTCAAGTAGTCAAAGTGTCAAAGAGTAATAAAAATCAATAATAAAATTAAATAAACACCGTTTATACATTTTTTTACATACATTCAATTAAGTAAAACGTGAGGTGTTCGATTTATGATTTCAGGTATTCGAATTAATGAAAAAAGAACAACCCAACTATTTGGAAAAGATCACAGCAGTAATCGGTGATTGTTGTTTACCTAGTTTAGGAATAGAAGAGAAATACAGGAACATGTTGAAAAATGAAGTAATAATAACATTCAGTAATAATTTTTATAATAACCGTTAGATTTTTGTCTGATAATAACACCTTTTTTTTTTAAAAAAAAAAGGTTAATATTGTTATACACTCCGCCGCTACAGTAAGATTTGACGAGCATTTAAGAAAAGCAGTTAACATCAATATAATCGCCTTGCAGGATATGCTGAAAATGAGCCAAGGAATGAAACACTTAAAGGTAGGTATCTGATGCGTTGGTAATTGGTATGCACTTGTTCTGTAATATATATATATATATATATATATATATATTTTAGTAAATGAATTTATAATACAATTAATAATAATAATAGGTAATTAAATAATGCAATACTACCGAAATATTAAATGGTTATTTATTTTCGTTTTACTTATGATAATTGTTTTTGCTTATAGGCTTTCGTTCATATTTCAACAGCTTATTCGAATTGCGCCGGGAGAAAAGTCGTGGATGAAGTATTCTACAAGCCACCAATATCTGGAGACAATTTGTTTCAGCTCGTGAACTGTCTTGACGATGACTACATCAGCAGAATTACTCCTTCGTAAGTATAGTGCCCTTTTATGATCTGTGCTCGTGGTTAATAGGTAGAACAAATACCAAGAATTAATTGATATTAACTTATATATGTATACGAATGGTACGAAAAAATAAACTATGAAAGAGTTAAAAGTTAATCGATTACAATTTATTGATTTCTTTATTGTTCAAAACTTTAAGATTGGTCGCACTTTATGAGTAAAATTCATTGACGGATGGAAAAATTTTTTTTTTGAAATAAACGAAAACAACTATTTTACCATGTCTTTTTTTGTTGGTGTAGAGTGCTGAAAGAGTGGCCAAACACATATGCGATGACAAAAGCAATTGCTGAAGGCGAAATTGCAACATACGGTAAAGGGTTACCCATCGGAGTGGTAAGGCCATCTATTAGTGAGTATAATGCATATTATATAAATACGCCGTTGATCCTATATGATATTACATTGAAGTGGCGCAACCAGTGACGTATTTAAGGTTTTTCCGCCTCTAGGCACTTTCCAATTCGCCGCCTTCCTCCCACCACCATCCTTCCTACAATTATTTCTAAAACGTATTTAAATATACAATTTATTCTATTATAATATTATATTAAAAAAGATACATTGAGATATATGTAGATATACTAGTATGATTAATTTTGAGCGAACAAAAATTAGTTGAGTTTGATTTCATCAAATGAAAAATACTTTTTCTAATTTTGTAAAAAAAAAATTGTTGAAATTTGCCGCCCTCCAATGTTGCCGCTCTAGGCCCGGGCCTATATAGGGCCTGTGCCTAAATACGCCTCTGGGCKCAACCACAATCTGTAGCCCTTTGAACCGTATTCTAGTACTTTTATTAAATGATAAATTCCATTCTGTATTATTATTAAATATTGTTGACTACAACCATAATAATAACA